AGTTTTCACACTTTTATTCCTAGGGCCCTCTCCCCCAGCTCGAAAAATGGTTTTAAAAACTATTCATTTTACGATACATTTTGTTTACATTCCTCGAGATGGAGCGGCGATGCGAGTCTCCCTCAGCGTATTTTTCCCTAAATTGCACTGAGGCGTGTGGCAAACAGCAGTGGCATCCACATTGGGCTGCACAATGAAGGGCACCCCCGAGATACCTCCCCGAAAACACCAATCCCCGCGGTTTTGGCCCTTTTGTGCTGGTCATTTATCAGTCAGCGAATGTTTGTTGTGCCTTTGTTTTCCCTCCCCCTCCCCAAACTTTTGTAGTATTTTCTTTATTTTTTGTTTTCCTGCTCTTGTTAGTTTTTCGCGCATTCATGCCTGCACCAATCCCCCGGCTGAAACCGCCTGTCAATGGCCAACATATTGATAATCGTTTTCAATTTGTGCCCGGCAATAACAACAAAAAATCAATTGTCTTTAGTAAATTGAATGCAGGCTACAATACAATACGTGTACAAACAAACAAACAGGCAGGCAGGAGAAAAAAAGTCTGGACAAATGACTTTGGCTTTAACCAAACTGACAAGACAAGACCTCAAGTCTGAATTCTCGAGTTTCTGTTTCTGTCTGGTTATTATTTTGACTGATGAATGTGACTTTTGCGTTTCCATTACATGACGCCATGCCTGATTGCCTTTTCCATATAGATTTCACCCCTTTTTTCCACTCCATTGTGCGTGGGCAAGAATTTACAACTCCCCCGAACTTCCAAAAAAAGAAAAAATAAATAAAAGTGAATGTGTGCTGTATATATACCTATAAACAAATTTGTATCTTAATGAGTTTTCACACTTTAGCGCCTTTCGGACTGTGCGCCTTTGTCTTGGAATTTCCATCGTCTAATGTTCTTTCAATGTTCTGTGTGAGTCTCTTCATTATTAATGTTGCTATAAATCAGTTAGGCAAGACAATTAAATTGACACATTCTGTATATTTGAGGTTTGTTCTTAGATTTCTGGTTTTTGTTGAGGCTAACAGATTAATTGTCAGACTTGTAGTGATTTGATGCTTATAGTGTTTTAGTTATTTAGTAAGCGAGTTGAAATGAGAAGGCAGGCATAAAATGAATATACATGGAAATTGTATATTAAATACAATACAGCTTTTTATAATGACTGCAGTTGTTGATTGAGTAGTAATTTATTTATAAACCAAATTTTCTTTATTAAATTTATTCATATTACTAATTATTCACAAAACTAAATGGTTAAATAATAATTTATTAAAACCTTTAATGTTCTGTGCAAAAATACGTTAATTTACCATTTTAATATATTTTTTAAATATTCCAATTATTTTTGCCACTCATAAATAAATCGTTCATTGTTGTATTTTATTATCCTTGCAATATGTTTTCTTCGTTAGGAATTCAAATGAAAGTTATACTTGAATTTCTGGACTTTTTCCCACAGTTGTCAGATTAATTTGTTCTTTTGTTTATAACTTAATTTCCTTTATTCCCACAGTTCTCTCGCTCGTCAAATGTCAAGTGTCACCGAAGTGTCTCCTAAGTGTTTCTGTTCCTTCCAGCATTTTCCCCCACTTTGCCCCTTAATTGTGCAGCTTGCTGGTTTTCCTTTTTTCTGTCAATTATCCATGTACATTTGCCTAATGGTTTTTATATTTGTTTTTCCTTTACTTTTGGCCTCAAGCTCTGCTCTCTCTTCATCTGCAGACTCAGAATTTTCATTTGCCAACGGAAAACTCTCAAGAGGGCATAGAAAATCATAAAACATTCACTTCTTTTCCACACATTTGTACAGATATTCCATACAGCTTAATTAGCAAAACATTTAAATGCACTTTACATACAACATACAGCAGAAACGAAGAAGTTCTGTGACAATTTATTTCGATTTTTTCAGACAGCCGCAAATTGAAGTTACGTTTGGCAAGGAATGAGGAGCAGTGGTCTAAAAGGAGACACATGCAATATGTTCATTTGTAGATTTACAGTGCTGATTTGGGCCAAAAGGGGGAAAGGAGTGGGCCAAAAGCAGGTGGCCTGTCAGACTGACTGACCTAGATTTGTCTAAAAATACTCAGGCACCAATAAAATGCCAGTCCAAAGTGTTTGAATGTATTTTACATCACTTTGATTTTTATTTCGATTCGCTAAACGGAGGGGGGAGTTTGGAGGCAGAGGCGCTGGGAAGGGGGGTGGTTTCCAATCCGAGGATTTTTCAAGTGCTCAACACTTGAGGCTGTGGCTCTGGTGAGCAATTTGCACAATTGAAAAACTGTCTGCCCTGCGCTCGAGTCTCCTACTAATGAGGGTTGTGAGTGGAAAATCTCAGGGGGAATACGAGAATTTCTATTTCGGGCACTGCCTGCAGTCTCGATATCTGTATTGCATATAAATTATTCCCACATAATTTAGTCGAAATAACTCAAGATAAAATACATATATATTTGTTGGCCCCTGCAGACCCAATTAAAATATACTTTAAAATAGCTGTCTTCATCTTTTTCTTAAATTTAAGAAATACGCTTTTTCATGAAATGGTATTATAATAAAGTTCTTAGTCATCGCTAAGGGCTATATTCAACACACAAAATTGTGACAATTTAATTGAGAAGCTTAAGAAAATCCATTAAACTTAAAGAAGATTTCTAGGCATTATATTTTAAACTTGGACAAAATGAATGGCATTTTAAATTGCATATACACAGTTTTAAATTCAATTTTTGTATGGCCTCAGGTTATCTAAGCATTTGCTAAGCAATTTATACAGTTGAGCTATTTTATTTAAGACTTTTTAAGTCTAAGAAGAATTTTTAATTGGTTATTCTTAAGCTGTGTGTTATTTTTTCTTGTCCTCAGAAAGGTTTTTGTACATAAAAATGGGTCAGATATGAAAGAAATACTTGGAATATTGCTGATTATCAAGAAACTTTCGCAGAGGCAGTAACATTGGTAACCGCCACCAATAACAAGTCAAAACCAGTTACACGCCCGGTCAATTACACAAAGAACCGAAACGAAAAACCGAGGGAAAACAGCGAAACAACACGGAAAGCCAACACCAACGCAGCTTCATGGCTTATGACTTGCACTACCAATTTTCCCCACCCCCCTTCCGCAAAGCCCCTGAAAACAGGCTCGCTTGTCTGCAATTTGAGGCTTTACTGTCATTCAGTGTGGCTCAAACCAAAAGGCAAAATGCGTGGGCCACCACAACTCACCTCCGACAAACCCACGCCGAAATCTTAGCCAAATTGTTGGTTGCACTTGCAACATTCGGGGGATTCATCGGGGGGAATGGGGATCCCAGGGGGAGAGGTGTTTCACAGGCCACAGAATGGATTTCTGGCTTTGCGGTCGAAATGGCATGAGTTTGGATCGGTTCGGTTTCGGTATCTCTCGCCGAAGAGTCCAAGAGCCAAAATCACTAGCAGACATTGACAATAACCCTGCGACTCAATGGTTCCACAAGAGGGAAATGAAACGTCGTCGATGATTCGGGGGCCGAGTTGCGGGCAGAAAACCGGAGTCCAGCCACGTGGGCGTCCATTAAAAGAAAACGAATTGCTGGCCCAATTTGTGCGCTGCTGGAGATTTGAGTCAACAAAGTCAAGCTCAATTCAGTACTCTCTCTTATTCTCCTATCATCTACAAGTATTGCGCCATTGTGCACTGAAAAAATAATGAAATCGGTTTAAAGTACTAAAAAGTCTTTAAAAATTATAATAGATTTAATATTTAAAAATACTATTTTTTTAAAAGAGCTAAATTTAATTAACTCTATAAAGGCTAATATAAAATGTTTAAAAAATCCATAATTAAAAGCATCTCTATTTTTTTGGGAGTTTTATATGTTTAAATTATAAATAAGATGTACTATTTTATATCATTATTATATACCATTTTTTTCATTCCTTTACAAGTAAGACCTGCTTTTCCCACAGTGCCTATTCCTATTTATAATTCATTTCCATAATTATTTACATATTTACTGAAGTGTGCAATCAATTGGAACGCGATAAGCAGCGGATGGAGGCAAATGAAGCGCTAGAAGTGATTCCAATGCCACGGGAACTCAGGGCGTATAGCTAGAGAAAGACCTTGAGCTAAGTCAACAGCACCAAGTTAATTCAATTAATCGGCATGTGCCCGTTACACTGACAAAAAAATAATACAAACCTCCCAATGGATAATGAAATAACAAGCAGTGACTGCAATAAATCCTAATCAGTTAATGGCTTTGTTTAACCATTAGAGATAATTGCAGTATCTATTTTCTGGGGGGACAAAAAGCAAATGAGGTTCTCTTTAATCAAGTCATTAAAGCTAAGGAAATCGCTGGCTCATCACCATTTACTGGACTAATAGTTTTTAGCTCTTAAAGCTTTAGTGCCGGCATTATATTTGCCCCCTGGAAACCAACATTGTCCTGGGCCTAAACAAACCCAGGCAAATATAAGCCCAATTTCGCCCATTATGGTAACACACACAAATGCAAATTTCGCAAACCCCCCTCCCCCCTTCTCTCTCTATCGCCCAGTTTTCTCATCAATTTATTATGCTATTTGTGTGCGCTAAAATTAGTTAATGAACCCGGACTCAATGTAATAATGGAAAGCCGTACTCGCCGCCCTCATGCTATAAACTGTGGAACTGAAACTGAAACTGAAACTGGCGTTGTGATTGAACGTATCCCCCCCTGTAAATGGGGAAATCCCCTGCTCATCTCGTGGTCTCATCGTTGTTGTTGCCGCCTTGTTGTTGGTTGTATAAATTAATTCCCCAGGTTAACTGCAGAGTAACGTTTTATAATTAAGCCAGCTGCATAATTATGAGGAGCAAACACACACAAACCCACAGCGGTGTGCACATGCAGGCAGGCTGTGTGGTCACATATAAAATAAATGTATATATGCACTCTGGAAAAATCGTATATAAGTCGAATAGGAAACGGATCAGCGAGCTTGGAAATACGTATTTCTAATAATTATTTCATTTTTAGTTAATATTAGCAAGGGAGACCATAAGAATTCTCTTCACAAAGCCACCATAAAAAAGCTAAGGTAAGATCTTAAATCACTTTAATTTACCAAGTTAAAAGCGTTGAACCTCAAGTAAAGCTTAAAGTGATTCAATCTTCTTTATATAAGCCAATCTTTCGATTTCTTTTCAAGTGCATTGATATGTGTTATATATTTATAGAAACCCCATATCGGTTGAGAACTGAGATACACGCAATTGGCGACATTTAAGCACGCAACGTTAACCCCTCGATGACCGGGACCCAGCACACACTTATTATCATAATGAACATCAACGGAGTGGAAAGGACGATGGAGAGGCAGGATTGAGCGGTGTATCCAGGACACGGTTAAGTGGTTTGCCGCATAATCGACGGAGAGGCCTCCGAGGTCTGGAGGCGAAACGGATCGAGGCGTCTGGCGGAGAGAAATGTTCATTAATATACAAAAGCTCGGGTCATCCGCAAAGTGTCCATCACACGATGGCCAATGGGGAAATGCCACGGAGGTCCTGTGATGAGAAAGTCCTGGACGTCATGAACGTCCTGTTCGTCCTGGCCACCCATCGCTCCCCGTTCTCCTTTGTGGGGCCGGCGGTGGCCCATCAAAAAGCTTTATCACTCGGAACCACCCCGTTTTTCCACTTTTCCATCCATTCGCTCCGTCAGCGAGTTATTGCCACGGCCTTTTTGGCCCTGCCTCATGTAAAAGCAATAAATAATGGCCCAGTTTACGGGGTATGTCTCGTCTATGGCATGGAGCGTCATAAAAATATTTTATCCATTAGACATTGCCTCTCTCATTGGGGGCCTGAGTTGTTGCTTCAGTTTGCTTAATGGCCATTAATAATTGTTGAATTAATGTCAACTGTGGAATTGGATCACAGTTCACTTAAATGCATATTGGCTGTGGCCATGTGGCGTATACTTAATTTAGGCTGCCTAAATTGGGCTAAATATCTCAAAACACGTTTTTGATTTCTTAACATAGAGCCATGAGGCCTTAATAAATTTGCCAAGTATCAGCATCTGCATCTGCATCTGCTTCAAAATCAATGTTTATGGTTTCGCAATTTATCTTTTCTTCAATATAAACAACTCTTCGGGGTATACAAACTGAACTGTTTGTCCTAGTTTTGCTGGGCTCCGCCGCTGCTGCTGGCGAATGAAAATTCAACTAGGCAAATATACGGCTTGGAAAAATTGCATCAAATAAATATTATTCATAGGCATGACCCGGCGCGTACATCATCATCGTCGGGAATTTCGGCATTTGGCAGTGTAATTTTTCATTTCTAGCTTGACACGAGCAGGAGAACCGGCGGACAAACAGAAAAACCAGGGCGAGTGCAGTTCAATGACATAATTTGTCGCAGCGCATCAATAGAGTGGACAGGGTCTGAAACAGGGACCTGGAGATGCGGAATGAGGAATGGGGAGTGGGGATTGGGCCAGCAGTGGATCGCAAAACAATGGGGCACCGGAGCAACGTCAACATTGTCCAAACGTCAACGATGTTGTCGTCATCGTGGAGTCATCATCGTCATAATCATAATCATCGTCGTCGTCATTGTTTCGCTTGAACTTTATTGTTTTGATTTATGCGCGTGCACAACGAGAGCAGGCGAAAGGGAGATAGAATGAGACACTGAGAGAAAATACTGATTCAAAATCCAGCACCTATTAAGAATAGTTTGGGGTTCAATTCTAGCCTGCAACTATTTTTTTGAAACCTTAAAAATAAATATCAAAAATCATTTTTAAAATTTAAAAATATTTATAGCTTCTGTGTGGTGTCCTACAAGTACCATAAAACCATTAAAACAAATCTTCAAATTATATTTACAATATATATTAAATTAATATTATAAATTATATTTGAAAACCGAAAATTAATTCATTTCTTTGTGATTAATTAGGAATTTCGTTATATTTTGTATCCAAAACTATAGGTATTCCTTTTAATCCATCATTTTTTGTCATTGTCAAGAGGTCAGAGCCGAAGGGAGCAGTGCATGGTAAGCGAAAACTTTGCGGGTTCAAACTGTCGTACACTGTCGTTTGTTAGAACCCCCATTCACCCCCCATGCCGCCACTCCCCTGTTCATTTCGCCTGCACTGGACACGTCGCGTTGTTTATTCCACCAACGCCAAACAATCGCGAACCCAGTCGTCCGGCGCTGTTGTTTTTGTTTTGGTTGCCTCGAGTGGAAAGCGGGGGAAAAGTGGGGCGTTGGGAAAATTCTCGGTGCAAATGAAAATGATGTTGTTCAGCTGCCACTGCCACTGGCATTCAGGCATCCAGGCATCAGAACGGCATCAGAAGAACCGTCCCATCACCATTCCTGGGCCCGTTGCCCGATTATGTTAATGTGCCCAGAGATTTCTGCCATTATGATGTTGTTCACTAGACGACCACTCTGCATATTTGACGGGGACCGCAGCAGTGACTCACAGAACCCGGGGGCCAAACGTCTCCAGTGCAACATTTTCCCGCTTTTCAGTCTTGGTGAAAAGTTGTTTCCCCCCATCCCGCAATCTTTCGCACTGGCACTAAACAATTTCAAGTCTATGTTGTTGTTTTAGCCATCGGCTGTAGTTGGTAGAAAGTAGGGTGAAGAATATGCCATGCAAAAGCACTCAGTCAAATATTTGAGAAGCGCGGAGAGAGGCTCAAAACAAAGAAAAAGGATGTTAGGTTAGGATAAACAAAGTTTTTCAAAATCATTATGTTGACTTTGATCATAACTTTAAATAAAAATAAAGGAATAAACACAATAAGCATTTTCCCCAATTTATAAAAAACAATTTTCCATGATATCTAAACAATTTAGATTCAAACAATTTAATTCAAACAACTAAGGCGAACAACAAACGAAATTTGCTGCCATTACCCCGAATTTTTATCTGTGAAAATAAATTAAACTGAATTATGGTTGATTTAGTACATTTGTCTTTTTCCACGACCCGTAACGATGGCTTCATTAAAGTGCAACGATTATGGTGCAACATAAAAATAAGAGCAAAAATTAATTTACAATAATAGTCTGCTTTGGTCGCGCTGTTTTCATGCAGAATAGTAATAATAAATAATATCATCTAATGCCTGAAATCGGCCCCCATAATTAAGCAGGCATGCGAAATTTGCAAGAGCAACAAACAAAATTTTTGCGGGCAGCAGCTGCATTATATATATTTTTAAACAACCTCCCACAGTATTATCCCCTATATTTCTCGTTTTTCTCCCAAGGGGAAGCGAATGCAATATTGAAACGCATTTTTCTCTGTTTCTCCTCCGGCGTCTCTGCTCGTTTTTTGTCATCAAAATCGTGAAAAATTGTTGCAAACTTTGACAGGGCAAAAATTATGATAGCTGTTGTGCTGAGGGAATGGGGTGTTTCTGCCTGGATGGTAATAATTTTGTGTCATAAATAAATCGCTGAAAGTTGTTGTTGCCAACAAACAAAAAATCGTCCCATTTGTTATTGAATTTAAGCTTTAGACTGTGAAATGTTTTCGAAATGATAAGCAAACTAGGGAAGAGAGGTCAAGAGAGACCAGAAAGGCAATATTTTACAATGTTCAACTGGAATGACAAGAATTCACTTGCTCTGCGTTTTTTTTTTTTTTAAACGATAACGAGCGCTTCAACGAGATTTCAACAAATTAGCAACATGATTAAATTTAAAACATTTTAAACATTTTACACCCGCAGATCTACAAATTATAAATGACACGATGGCACAGATTTTATGTGAAAAAATTCAAATAAACATACCAGAGGAATGTTTTTATTCTCTTTTTGTATTTTACGAGCTGTCGAATGAGCTGACAACACTCAGGTTGGAAAAAATTATAGCTGCAGCTGACAGATTTTTATGACTTAATAAAGCAGAAGCGCCAACGAAACGAGAAGTTCAAGTTTGTGGGGGAGTAAATCTGGGTTATGGGTTATGAGTGCTGCATCTATATACATTTATGTATAAATACACAAAGTTGGGGGCGAAGATAAGACCCAGTAACTTACTGCCCAGACAGTTTAGACACCTAACCGACAAACAAACTTTAAATTTCAGCTCTACGAGAGTGTTATTTGCTAGAGAAGGGCTGGGAATCGAAACTTTTCGCTCAACTCCCACTGGCAAAAGTTAATCGAAGCCGGAGAACTTCCAACAAATTGACCGGAAAATGTTTGCGAATTGCCAACGGAACTGAGTCCCCGAACTCGGCTGAGATTTCGGCCAGTAAACTGGCCAAGGGCTATCGATGCCAAACAGACACACACGTCGGTCAGTAAATTAAACAGGCGGCCAAAGTTAAGTAAACAAGTCAGAAATTTCATTTCATAACGAAAGTTTTTTTAACTTAGGGATATTGATAAAAATTCTATTTTTGTGTGTCAAATTTAAATGGCTAGCACTGAGAAGGGCACTTGATAAAAATTTGGTTGAGTCACAAAGTGCTCTATCTTCAAAATATATAGCATTTCTTTACATCACTAAGCAGGAAGTGAATATTTGATATTTTGTGAATCATAAACCATGCCTTGATGAATTACAAGAACATCTGCTCGCTTGCTCATCTCTAATAATAAAAGTTTTTTTCAAAAGGACAGATATCGGGTAAAATAAATGGATATTTACTTTTTTGTCAAGTGCTGAAAAGTTTCGGGTTCAGCAAACTTTTAAAGGGCGGAGCAGATTTTCTAATGAAATTTATGAAATTGTATTTCAGCAAAAGCTAGTAAAAAGTTATTTACGCCAATTTGGGTCAATGAAAGTTGCTACCGCTTCGAAATCAATTGCATTTTGATAAAGTTCTGTTCGATTTTCCACGCAAAAACTCCCTCCTGCAGCTGCAAGTGTCACTATTCAGTTTGACACTTTTCGGTGAAGTAGATGTGGAAAATAAGAGGAGGAGGAAAACCCGAAGCCAATCGAAATCCTGCTGAATGGCAATAAAATGTTCTATAAATGGAAACAAAGTCAAGCCAGTTTGACATTCTACGTCGTTGTCAAACTTAGGGAAACTTGGCTAACAAAAAGATTTTTCCATGGGGTTAGCCACTTTTCAGCAATTTGGTTGTTTGCGTTCGACATGGCCAAAAAGGGCGTGGAGATGTTGGGAGTTGGGAGCCCACAAAATGGGTATAAAAATAGTAGAACAAGTTGAATATGCTAACCACAACAGACGGCCGCCAACTATTTTAGGATGCCAAAAAGCCGGCCAGGCCAACAGCATCAGCAGCAGCAACAACAACTTGCATGTTGATATCGCGCCGCCTGTGAAAACAATGCCAAAGGCCATGTGTAAATATGCTATGCAAAGTTTTTTCTTCGTTTTTCCCGAACCACTTTTTTTTTTAGCTTTTTATGTGCTACTACTGCTGCTGTGGGATGGACGTCAGCTTTTCGCATAAATGTCGATGCACAGTGGAGCAATGTAATTGCGGGGAAAACGACGCCAAAATTAAGTTCTTCGAGTGGAAAAGTTTCGTGGGAAATGGGAAAGTAAATTTGACTTTGCCGATAGCAAGTTGATAATGATAAGGATGAGGGGAAAATGCTGTTGGTGGTCTTTTATTAACATTTTATTGACAGATATTTATAGAAATTCTTTTGCCATTGTTTTTAATGAGCTTTGAAATGTTATTTGGCTTGCAAAGAAAGTATCCAACTTTCTTCTGGCCAGAATCAATTGAACACATTTTTAATTGTCTTATAAATGTATTAAATGATATATTATATAGTGTAAACCAATCAATTTTAAACCTTTTATCCATGGTGTTGCTTTGCTGTAATTCAATATTACTTAAATGGTTTTATTTAGGTTCCCTGAATTAAATGAGGTTATTTAATTAATTTCAATGAACATTGTAATTCATTTAAATAAAATACACTGCACTTCAAAACGGCAGGCCTAAATACTTTATTTATTTTACCCCTGTTCCTTTCACCTTGCTCATTAAAAAACATAAAACTTCCTTTAGATCTTGGGCATTCTACCACCCATACATATTTCTAGAATTTTTGCTTTTTAATGCAGGTCCACA